TATGACTCATACTTCAAGACTGTAAAAACACCAAATCAACACAATTATCACCTGAACGAAACCACTGTAAAGGAGATGAATGATGATGGAAACACAGCTCGGTAGAAAGGTTCAAGCTGTGAAAAAACAGGAAACAAAGCATTTTAAGTTCATTTTAAATATCAAAAGTAAATCATAAAAAACCCAGATGGAAGTTTTACAAGGTACTTTTGTAACAACAAAATGTCTGATAACAATTTGTCAAAAAAAAAACAATATGAGGAAATAATGATTACTAGGTCTTCGTGTGGAGATATTTCTTTAACAAAGTTCATATGAATTGATTGGGGAATTAGTTTGTACAAGGATATTTTGGACATTTGAACAAGGCATATGCTTTTAATTTCAAACTCTTAATGATATGCTCTGTCCAAGGTAAGCTACAAGAGGGATGTTTCTTAAATATACATTACATGCTCTTTGGAAAATTAACAATTTAAATTCATGAGGTCATATTGCTGAAATTCTGACATGAGATACCTTGTTTAAAAAAATATTGAATTAATAAGATGCATGAATGTTGCTGGATTTTACTCTCTGAAAGAGACTTACTGAAGACTTTATCAGTGAGGATCGATTTCTAAATGCTGCAGATGATGGAATCAACAAGTCACTTGTAAATGTCTCTCCAGGAGATCTGAAAGTCAATCGCCTTATTCTGACTGCTGTAGCAGTTGTGGTAGTTGAAGGATTCACTGTGGTTGTAGTTGTAGCGGCCGCTGTGCTTGATGATGCACTAGTTGTTGTTGATTCACCATCCAAAGTTATGGAATTGGTGTCAATGTTGAAGGCTGTGATGAATGAAGCAGCAATATTCAAGATGTTGGTAATCTGAGTGTTGTTAGGAAGAGATGCTGTTGCAAATCCAATGTCAATGTTGTTGATGACTGATCCTTCACTGCAAGGTGATGAGCACAAAGTATATATTTTTTTTTTAAATATTATGACTCATACTTCAAGACTGTAAAAACACCAAATCAACACAATTATCACCTGAACGAAACCACTGTAAAGGAGATGAATGATGATGGAAACACAGCTCGGTAGAAAGGTTCAAGCTGTGAAAAAACAGGAAACAAAGCATTTTAAGTTCATTTTAAATATCAAAAGTAAATCATAAAAAACCCAGATGGAAGTTTTACAAGGTACTTTTGTAACAACAAAATGTCTGATAACAATTTGTCAAAAAAAAAACAATATGAGGAAATAATGATTACTAGGTCTTCGTGTGGAGATATTTCTTTAACAAAGTTCATATGAATTGATTGGGGAATTAGTTTGTACAAGGATATTTTGGACATTTGAACAAGGCATATGCTTTTAATTTCAAACTCTTAATGATATGCTCTGTCCAAGGTAAGCTACAAGAGGGATGTTTCTTAAATATACATTACATGCTCTTTGGAAAATTAACAATTTAAATTCATGAGGTCATATTGCTGAAATTCTGACATGAGATACCTTGTTTAAAAAAATATTGAATTAATAAGATGCATGAATGTTGCTGGATTTTACTCTCTGAAAGAGACTTACTGAAGATTTTATCAGTGAGGATCGATTTCTAAATGCTGCAGATGATGGAATCAACAAGTCACTTGTAAATGTCTCTCCAGAAGATCTGAAAGTCAATCGCCTTATTCTGACTGCTGTAGCAGTTGTGGTAGTTGAAGGATTCACTGTGGTTGTAGTTGTAGCGGCCGCTGTGCTTGATGATGCACTAGTTGTTGTTGATTCACCATCCAAAGTTATGGAATTGGTGTCAATGTTGAAGGCTGTGATGTTTGAAGCAGCACTGATCAAAGTATTTCTAATCTGAGTGTTGTTAGGAACAGATGCTGATGCAAATTGAACATCAATGTTGTTGATGACTGATCCATTACTGCAAGGTAATGAAAACAAAGTATTAATTTTTTACAAAAATATTATGACTCATACTTCAAGACTGTAAAAACATAAAATCAACACAATTATCACCTGAAGGAAATCACTGTCAAGGAGATGAATGATGGAAGTGCATCCCGGTAAATAGGTTCAAGCTGCGAAAATACAAGAAATAAAAACGATTTAAGTTAATTTTAAGAAGCAAAAGTCAATCGTAAAAAAAACCCAGATAGTAGTTTCAACTCATGGTGAGTGAGCAGAAGTATTAGAAGATTGGTTACTTGTGGGTTTTGGAAAATTTTGTTTTTGGGAAAACCCCTTTAAGGAGTTTGCAAAAAAAGGGAGTTTTATTGTTGACAGTTTAGTTTAGCTGACTGAGGTACTTTTGTAACAACATAATGTCTGATAACAAGTTGTCAAAAAAAAAAAAAACAATATGAGGAAATAATGATTACTAGGTCTTCATGTGCTTACATGTGGAGAATTCTTTAACAAAATGTGCATATGAATTGATTAGGGGAATTACTTTGTACAAGGATATTTCGGATATTTGAACAAGACACACACTTTTAATTTCAAACTCTTAATGATATGCTCTGTCCAAGGTAAGCTACAAGAGGGGTGTTTCATTAATATACATTTTTAAGTTTTGAATAGACATGCTTTTGGGAAAATTAACTATTTAAATTCATGTGGTCATATTGCTGAAATTCTGAGACACCTTGTTTAAAATATATTTAATTTATAATATGTATAAATGTTGCTGGATTTTACCCTCTGAAAGAGACTTACCGAAGACTTTATCAGTGAGGCTCGATTTATGAATGCTGCAGATGATTGATTCAACAAGTCACTTGTAAATGTCTCTCCAGGAGATCTGAAAGTCAATCGCCTTAGTATGACTGCCGCCACAGTAGTTGTATTGGCAGATGTAGTATTTGAAGTAGGGGTGACAGAAGTTGTGATTGTTGTAGTGTTTTGATCTGTTAATAGCCAAAAAATATATATATATAAATAAGGAAAAAAATAAGATCCATCTTATGCATAATACACAGGATATACTGAATGTTTATATACTTTACTTCAGAGATATTACAGCCTCTGAAGTGAAATGCAGAGCAACTGTTTACTCACCAACTATCATGATGGAGGTGGAATCAACACTGAGGCTGAAGTTATTGCTCGAGTTTGACACAGCTTCTACCAAGGTACTTGCAACAGTGTCAGTTGTTGGGATTTGATCTGCAGATGAGTTTCTGGCAAACTCAACACCTATCTCTGCTTCAGTATTACTCATTCGCGTTCTTAGCACTGCTGGTCTGCATCAAAAATGCAAATATTAAAATTGATTACAGAATTGATAACATATGTGTACCTGTCATATGAAATTGGAAATAACAATGTTAACCACGATGTCAACAAAAAATTAATTATTGTAAGGTTGACCTCTGAAAATGTGAAATATTACCTAAAAAATAGGACAAAACAACGAACGTAAAGTACGCCAAATCCTCTCCTGAAGATAACATCAAACTGTGGAAAATAGCATATAGCAATAATGAAAAACAGGGTCATCTTTTATTTGAATAAACAACTTCAAATTAACTGTATGCACCTAAAAAAGACCAGTTTACTTACCACTAGAAGAACTTCAGCTTCAAGATTCTTAAATTGTGGACTTTCTCTATCATTGAGTTCAGCTACAAATGGTACTTCCAAGGATGCTGAAAGAATCTTAACTGGTGAAGGAGGTGCAGTAGTAGTGACAGTAGTAGACATAGTTGTAGTGACTGCTGATGTTGCAAGTATTACAGCTGAAGCTCCACTTGTTAATGTTTCTCGAGATATTGTTGAGCGTTCTGTTGTTGTCACTGAAACACTGCTTGTTGTTGACACAGCAGTAGTTGTTGAACCTCCAGTTGTTGATACACCAGTTGTAGTTGAACCTCCAGTTGTTGATGATCCTTCTGTTGTTGTCTCTGGAACACTGCTTGTTGTTGTTGATCCAACAGATGTTGATGTTTCAGCTGTTGTTGAGCCTTCAACTGCTGTTGTTGATTGTCCAGTTGTAGTTGAACCTCCAGTTGTTGATGATCCTTCTGTTGTTGTCTCTGGAACACTGCTTGTTGTTGTTGATCCACCAGATGTTGATGTTTCAGTTGTTGTTGAGCCTTCAACTGCTGTTGTTGATTGTCCAGTTGTAGTTGAACCTCCAGTTGTTGATGATCCTTCTGTTGTTGTCTCTGGAACACTGCTTGTTGTTGTTGATGCACCAGATGTTGATGTTTCAGCTGTTGTTGAGCCTTCAACTGCTGTTGTTGATTGTCCAGTTGTAGTTGAACCTCCAGTTGTTGATGATCCTTCTGTTGTTGTCTCTGGAACACTGCTTGTTGTTGTTGATGCACCAGATGTTGATGTTTCAGCTGTTGTTGAGCCTTCAACTGCTGTTGTTGATTGTCCAGTTGTAGTTGAACCTCCAGTTGTTGATGATCCTTCTGTTGTTGTCTCTGGAAAACTGCTTGTTGTTGTTGATCCACCAGATGTTGATGTTTCAGCTGTTGTTGAGCCTTCAACTGCTGTTGTTGATTGTCCAGTTGTAGTTGAACCTCCAGTTGTTAATATACCAGTTGTAGTTGAACCTCCAGTTGTTGATGATCCTTCTGTTGTTGTCTCTGGACCCCTGCTTGTTGTTGTTGATCCACCAGATGTTGATGTTTCAGCTGTTGTTGAGCCTTCAACTGCTGTTGTTAATATACCAGTTGTAGTTGAACCTCCAGTTGTTGATGATCCTTCTGTTGTTGTCTCTGGACCCCTGCTTGTTGTTGTTGATCCACCAGATGTTGATGTTTCAGCTGTTGTTGAGCCTTCAACTGCTGTTGTTGATTGTCCAGTTGTAGTTGAACCTCCAGTTGTTGATGATCCTTCTGTTGTTGTCTCTGGAACACTGCTTGTTGTTGTTGATCCACCAGATGTTGATGTTTCAGCTGTTGTTGAGCCTTCAACTGCTGTTGTTGATTGTCCAGTTGTAGTTGAACCTCCAGTTGTTGATGATCCTTCTGTTGTTATCTCTGGAACACTGCTTATTGTTGTTGATCCACCAGATGTTGATGTTTCAGCTGTTGTTGAGCCTTCAACTGCTGTTGTTGATTGTCCAGTTGTAGTTGAACCTCCAGTTGTTGATGATCCTTCTGTTGTTGTCTCTGGAACACTGCTTGTTGTTGTTGATGCACCAGATGTTGATGTTTCAGCTGTTGTTGAGCCTTCAACTGCTGTTGTTGATTGTCCAGTTGTAGTTGAACCTCCAGTTGTTAATATACCAGTTGTAGTTGAACCTCCAGTTGTTGATGATCCTTCTGTTGTTGTCTCTGGACCCCTGCTTGTTGTTGTTGATCCACCAGATGTTGATGTTTCAGCTGTTGTTGAGCCTTCAACTGCTGTTGTTGATTGTCCAGTTGTAGTTGAACCTCCAGTTGTTGATGATCCTTCTGTTGTTGTCTCTGGAACACTGCTTGTTGTTGTTGATCCACCAGATGTTGATGTTTCAGCTGTTGTTGAGCCTTCAACTGCTGTTGTTGATTGTCCAGTTGTAGTTGAACCTCCAGTTGTTGATGATCCTTCTGTTGTTGTCTCTGGAACACTGCTTGTTGTTGTTGATCCACCAGATGTTGATGTTTCAGCTGTTGTTGAGCCTTCAGCTGCTGTTGTTGATTGTCCAGTTGTAGTTGAACCTCCAGTTGTTGATGATCCTTCTGTTGTTGTCTCTGGAACACTGCTTGTTGTTGTTGATCCACCAGATGTTGATGTTTCAGCTGTTGTTGAGCCTTCAACTGCTGTTGTTGATTGTCCAGTTGTAGTTGAACCTCCAGTTGTTAATATACCAGTTGTAGTTGAACCTCCAGTTGTTGATGATCCTTCTGTTGTTGTCTCTGGACCCCTGCTTGTTGTTGTTGATCCACCAGATGTTGATGTTTCAGCTGTTGTTGAGCCTTCAACTGCTGTTGTTGATTGTCCAGTTGTAGTTGAACCTCCAGTTGTTGATGATCCTTCTGTTGTTGTCTCTGGAACACTGCTTGTTGTTGTTGATCCACCAGATGTTGATGTTTCAGCTGTTGTTGAGCCTTCAACTGCTGTTGTTGATTGTCCAGTTGTAGTTGAACCTCCAGTTGTTGATGATCCTTCTGTTGTTGTCTCTGGAACACTGCTTGTTGTTGTTGATCCACCAGATGTTGATGTTTCAGCTGTTGTTGAGCCTTCAACTGCTGTTGTTGATTGTCCAGTTGTAGTTGAACCTCCAGTTGTTGATGATCCTTCTGTTGTTGTCTCTGGAACACTGCTTGTTGTTGTTGATCCACCAGATGTTGATGTTTCAGCTGTTGTTGAGCCTTCAACTGCTGTTGTTGATTGTCCAGTTGTAGTTGAACCTCCAGTTGTTGATATACCAGTTGTAGTTGAACCTCCAGTTGTTGATGATCCTTCTGTTGTTGTCTCTGGAACACTGCTTGTTGTTGTTGATCCACCAGATGTTGATGTTTCAGCTGTTGTTGAGCCTTCAACTGCTGTTGTTGATTGTCCAGTTGAAGTTGAACCTCCAGTTGTTGATGATCCTTCTGTTGTTGTCTCTGGAACACTGCTTGTTGTTGTTGATCCACCAGATGTTGATGTTTCAGCTGTTGTAGAGCCTTCAACTGCTGTTGTTGAGCCTCCAAGTGTTGTTGTTGATTGGCCAGTTGTAGTTGAACCTCCAGTTGTTGACGATTCTTCTGTTGTTGTCTCTGGAACATTGATTGTTGTTGACAAAGCAGTTGTTGTTGAGCCAGCAGATGTTGATGTTTCAGCTGTTGTTGAGCCTTCAACTGCTGTTGTTGAGCCTCCAAGTGTTGTTGTTGATTGTCCAATTGGAGTTGAACCTCCAGTTGTTGATATACCAGTTGTAGTTGATCTTTCTGTTGTTGTCTCTGGAACACTGCTTGTTGGTGTTGATCCACCAGATGTTGATGTTTCAGCTATTGTTGAGCCTTCAACTGCTGTTGTTGATTGTCCAGTTGTAGTTAAACCTCCAGTTGTTGATACACCAGTTGTCAATAGACCTCCAGTTGTCATTGATCCATCAGTTGTTGTTGATCCACCAGATGTTGATGCTTCAGCTGTTGTTGTGGCCACTGTGCTGGATAATGCACCAGCTGTTGTTGAGCCTCCAACTGTTGTTGTTGATTGTCCAGTTGTTGATACAGCAATTGTTGTTGATCCACCAGATGTTGATACACCGATTGTCGATGGATCTCCAGTTGTCATTGATCCATCAGTTGTTGATGATTCACCAGATGTTGATGTTTCAGCTGTTGTTGTGGTCACTGTGCTGGATAATGCACCAGTTGTAGTTGAACCTCCAGTTGTTAATGATCCATCTGTTGTTGTCTCTGGAACATTGCTTGTTGTTGACACAGCAGTTGTTGTTGATCCACCAGATGTTGATGTTTCAGCTGTTGTTGAGCCTTCAACTGCTGTTGTTGATTGTCCAGTTGTAGTTGAACCTCCAGTTGTTGATGATCCTTCTGTTGTTGTCTCTGGAACACTGCTTGTTGTTGACCCAGCAGTTGTGGTTGATCCACCAGATGTTGATGTTTCAGCTGTTGTTGTGACCACTGTGCTGGATAATGCACCAGTTGTTGTTGAGCCTCCAAGTGTTGTTGTTGATTGGCCAGTTGTTGTTGAACCTCCAGTTGTTGATGATTCTTCTGTTGTTGTCTCTGGAACACTGCTTGGTGTTGACCCAGCAGTTGTGGTTGATCCACCAGATGTTGATGTTTCAGCTGTTGTTGTGGCCACTGTGCTGGATAATGCAGCAGTTGTTGAGCCTCCAAGTGTTGTTGTTGGTTGGCCAGTTGTAGTTGAACCTCCAGTTGTTGATGATCCTTCTGTTGTTGTCTCTGGAACACTGCTTGTTGTTGACCCAGCAGTTGTGGTTGATCCACCAGATGTTGATGTTTCAGCTGTTGTTGAGCCTTCAACTGCTGTTGTTGATTGTCCAGTTGTAGTTGAACCTCCAGTTGTTGATGATTCTTCTGTTGTTGTCTCTGGAACACTGCTTGTTGTTGACCCAGCAGTTGTGGTTGATCCACTAGATGTTGATGTTTCAGCTGTTGTTGTTGCCACTGTGGTTGATAATGCAACGGTTGTTGTTGAGGCTCCAGTTGTCATTGACCCATCAGTTGTAGTTGAACCTCCAGTTGTTGATGATTCTTCTGTTGTTGTCTCTGGAACATCGCTTGTTGTTGACACAGCAGTTGTTGTTGATCCACCAGATGTTGATGTTTCAGCTGTTGTTGAGCCTTCAACTGCTGTTGTTGATTGTCCAGTTGTAGTTGAACCTCCAGTTGTTGATACACCGGTTGTCGATAGACCTCCAGTTGTCATTGTCCCATCAATTGTTGTTGATCCACCAGATGTTGATGTTTCAGCTGTTGTTGTGACCACTGTGCTGGATAATGCACCAGCTGTTGTTGAGCCTCCAACTGTTGTTGTTGATTGTCCAGTTGTTGATACAGCAGTTGTTGTTGATCCACCAGATGTTGATACACCGATTGTCGATGGATCTCCAGTTGTCATTGATCCATCAGTTGTTGATGATGTTGTTTCAGCTATTGTTGTGGCCACTGTGCTGGATAATGCACCAGTTGTTGTTGAGCCTCCAAGTGTTGTTGTTGGTTGGCCAGTTGTAGTTGAACCTCCAGTTGTTGACGATTCTTCTGTTGTTGTCTCTGGAACACTGCTTTGTGTTGACCCAGCAGTTGTGGTTGATCCACCAGATGTTGATGTTTTAGCTGTTGTTGTTGCCACTGTGGTTGACAATGCAACGGTTGTTGTTGAGGCTCCAGTTGTCATTGACCCATCAGTTGTTGTTGATCCACCAGATGTTGATGTTTCAGTTGTTGTTGTGGCCTCTGTGCTGGATAATGCACCAGATGTTGTTGAGCCTCCAAGTGTTGTTGTTGATTGTCCAGTTGTTGTTGAAGCGCCAGTTGTCGATTGTCCAGTTGTAGTTGAAGCTCCAATGGTTGATGTTCCCTCTGTTGTTGTTACTGAAACACTGCTTGTTGTTGACCCAGCAGTTGTTGTTGATCCACCAGATGTTGATGTTTCAGCTGTTGTTGCCGCTGTGCTTGATGATGCACCAGTTTTTGTTGAGCCTCCAAATATCAGAATCAAAACTAATAGGATTGGTCCAACACCCATTGTGTCTTTTTTTGGTTCTGCAGAATGTAACAAAAGATACAGTAAATAGAAAGATTTGAATATGTTAAATTGATATTTTTTTAAAAGATGATTTTACATTCTAAAGATAGATTTATAGTTTCACAATATTTCTTGATCTTAACATTAAAGGGGCTATATGTAACTTTCAAAAGTACTGCGTTTGTAGCGATACTGCATGGCCATTAGGCGAACTGTACCAGTAACCTGTTGCTCGCTCTCCCTTGCGTGCTCGTCATACGTGCTCGTACGTACACAAACAAGCAACATCATCGATCGCGAAACATTCGATATTTACCGGCATAATGTTTACAGAGGAGGTAAATGGTCATACACGTGAAAGCCTGTGAAGGAGTCTGTGTGTCTGTATTCATTCTCCATCCTACAAACGACAGTAGGAGTGTGTGATGAGTTTGTCCGCCTTTGAGAGCTCCTAGGGCAGATAGAAATGTGTGGAAGTCGGCCTCTGGCTGTGGAGGTGAAGGCCGGGAGTGTGTGATGAGTTTGTCTGCCTTTAAGAGCTAGGGCGGATACAAGTGTGTGGAACTCGGCCTCTGGCTGTAGCGGGAGTATGTGATGAGTTTGTACTGTTGATCTCTGTAAGCGGAGCGGAGTGAGGAGGACGTTGAGAACGTGCATAAAATGTCAGTCCCTGGAGCTTTCGCAGAAAATACGACCGGGGGAAAAATGTTATACAGGCAACACAGATAGACAGTGAACATCTACTTTTTCACATCAGTTAACCATTTGCTTCTTAAAGGTCCCATATTATGCTTTTTCTGGTTTTATATGCCCTTTAGTGTGTTTTCCAAGTGTCCTGTGCATGTTTAGGCACATCTGTGTGCAAAAATTCAAAGTCGGCGGAAACGCGGCTTCTCCTATGTCCTCCTGTTAGCTGTAGCATTAGCCGCATCTAACGCTCGGTTCTAGCCCCCCTCGATAAAAAATTGTCAGTGCGGCGTCATTGTCAGTGTGAGATCACTGATCTAAGTCCATTGGCTCGTTGTGGCAAGCTGAAATTTCCGAGAAGCGTGCTGAGCAACTGACCAATAACGACAGAGCGGATCGGCAGACCAATCAAAGCAGGCTTGGCCCACGTGGGGTCTAACAGTGGGAGCTCAGCAGAGCGTAGCTGACGGACTCAGAGCGTATAGGGAGCAAGGAGGAGCAGTTAAAATCGACACTTTTTTCGTACTTTAGCTATTGTGAATGTACAAAAGTAGGTACATAGATTAAATATACGAACCCCTAAAAAGGCATAATATGGGCTCTTTAATGGGCGAAAAAAAACAATTTATACATGTAAAAAGTTACATATAGCCCCTTTAAATTAGAATATGTGTTTTAAAATCATCTAATCTCTGACATCTCTAAATAGATTACTGCAATTCACCTTCAACTCAACCTCTCAAAGACTTTTGTATCATCCCAGCTAATCCCTCTATGCAACCACAGATCAATATCCAGG